GGCCCCGGATGCCGACAGCTGCCCCCCGGGCTCCCCAACTGCGCCTTCCCGTCCTCTCCCTCCACCTACGGCGACGGACACCACCACCATCCCCACCGCTATGCGAGCGGCAGCGGCCAGCGATGGGCGAGTGACTGCGAGCTGCAGAAGGAGAAGGAGAAGGAGAAGGAGAAGGAGAGCGCCCGGCAGAGGAGGCTGAGGGGGAGGGAGAGGATCGGGGCGGCGGGAGCCCCGGAGGTGTGGGGGCTGTCCCCCAAGTACCCCGAGCCGGATTCTGATGAACACACCCCGTTTGACAATGAAGAGGTAAACACTCAGAAGACCAACAGTTCAGATTCTATCTCTGAAGAAAAGAGGAAAAAGATCAGTCGTTCAAAAAACAAGAAAAGAAGAAAGAAAAAGTCCAAAAGGAAATCCAAGAAATATAATAGTGACAGTGCTTCAGACTCTGACACGAATCCCAGCTCTGATGATGGGAAAAGGAGAGCCAAGAACAAAGAGAAGAGAAAGAAACACAGAGGCGGGGCAAACAGGAAAATGAAGACTAACAGAAACCGCGCTGACTCCGGCTCTAAGGATTCAGAAGGGGAGTTTCGAGAAGATGTGCGGATGCATCACTCCAATATGGCAGATACCATGGATCTAATAGGCCCAGAAGCACCTATAATACTCACCTCTCAAGAAGAGAAACCTTTGAACTATGGCCACGCTCTGCTCCCAGGGGAAGGTGCAGCTATGGCCGAGTATGTAAAAGCTGGAAAGCGTATCCCACGAAGAGGTGAAATTGGGTTGACAAGTGAAGAGATTGCTTCCTTTGAGTGCTCAGGTTATGTTATGAGTGGTAGCAGGCATCGCAGAATGGAGGCTGTACGGCTGCGGAAAGAGAACCAGATCTATAGTGCGGATGAGAAGAGAGCCCTTGCATCCTTCAACCAAGAAGAGAGACGGAAGAGAGAGAATAACATTTTGGCCAGTTTTCGAGAGATGGTGTACAGAAAGACAAAAGGGAAAGATGACAAATAGAGACTTTTGTTCTACAGGACTTTGAACAACAATTTTATATAACCAAGTAGTATTAAAAGGCTTTATGGTGTTACTGTATCTACCTACTATGTTAGTAAGTCCTCCGAGGAAAAAGCTGTTTTTTGAGATCTTAGCAATTTATCCTTTATGTTTAATGTAATAATTAATATATAGTTTTTAAAATATTGAACTACAGGAGAGTCAGTAAAATGCCTTTCACTCAAGTCCCTGATCCTCCTCCCCAAAGACATCTCTTTTTTGTGTCTTCTATATCTGCCCATGAGTTCTTTGTACATACCGGTATACTGCTTCATTCTGGTTGCATTTAACAGACTGTTTAAAAGAAATAGAGATTTACTGGCATCTAATAAAAGTGCAGCAGGAGGATGGGTTTCCTGTGTGGCTGTAATGGGACTACAGCTTCTTTCCTCTTAATTCTTTATGGGTCATTATCCTCTTCAAGCTGGTTTCTCTCAAATAAGGTCTGCCAAAGCCCCTAAGTTAGGTTATGTATTTCCTAGTCCACCGCTGAAGAAAGAACATTTTTGTCTTGCATTGCAAACAATCCTGAAGTTCAGCCGAATTGGAATAGCTTTGGTCACATGCCCATCCTCATTAAAAAGTGTTGCTGCCCATGGAAATAGTATGGCTTACTCCTGGATCTATAGATGTGGTCACCTTATAGGTTACATGGGAAAGGAAGGATACCTGAATGAAAATCAGGGTAATATTGGGAATGGGAGATAGGCAACCAATAAATTCCCACAGAAGTTTTGAAAGATTTATTAAAAGCAGAATAGAGAGTACATGTGCTGAATGCCAAATGTTGATGAAAAGGTTGGCTTTGACTGATAAGCCAGATATATGATTGAAGGGGGCAAAAGGGATTATCCATAAAAATAGATATGAAAGAGAAAAGATGAAGATCCAGAGTACGTCAATCTTCCAAAGAGTAGATTAAGTGCCACCTAGAGTAGGAAGAGAAAGAAAAAAAAGAGAAGGTATAAAGGAAGAGGCAGTTGGTAGAGCTCAAGAAAAGGAGCCCAGTCCAGGAGGAAAAACCACATGGATAAGACAGTTAGCATTGAGATGCTGACGAGCACCATTGTTGTAGAAGACTTTAGAATGAGTTTCATTTATAGTGTATGATAAGGTCATTGTTGTCATCCAGTGTCATTTGCCTAAACCCGGAGCTTTCATTTGGATAACCAACTTTGCAAAGCTCAAGAGACCCTTGTAAGCCTCATAGAGCTGAAGATGTGGGGGTGGTTTGGAATCTGTCAAGGCAGAGCTATATGGAAGGGCAGCACCTTTACCCCAGAGTGTGATGTAATTGGCACTGGACCACACTAGCTTCAGGTTTTCCCCAAAGATCTTTGGGGAACACTGGTGAAAGACACCTTGTTACATATGTATATCTCCTTTCTTAGAAACAAACCATACTGCACTATACACATGGATCTACACCTGGCGTTTTTCACTTAATGCATGTAGGAGATGTTTTATATTAATGTATGTAAATCAACCTCATTTTTAAAAATGATTTCATAGTATTCTATTGTATGGAAGAACCATATTTTGTTGGGTATTTGTTTTCTATATTTTTGGATTACATGATACCTTAGCAAAAATCTTTGTGTATGTATGAGTGTGTTATTTGTAGTATATTCATCTAGAAATAGACTTATTGGGTCAAAAAGAATTCTTTCCCAGGTCACACTGCTTGCAAGTGACAGGGCTGGATCGGCTCATTTACAGAAATGGATCTCCTTGTTCTCCTCAGTCTCCAGCTGTTCCTTCTCTCCTCTCTTCCATACACTAGGAGTTTTCCAGGGTTCCAGCCACAGCTGACTACTGCACTACCCTGAATTTGCCAGGCTTTCCCTAACATCTCTGTGCTCCCCCTTTGCTCTGTATGAAAAATCTTTTCTCTATTTCCTTGTCAGCCCTAATTTAAATTTTTTTTAAGACCCAGAGGATGCGGAATCTTAGAGTAAATTTTTGGGAAGGTGGGTGGGTGGCAGGTAACCAACCACAC